GCGGGGGGGTAATTGACAGGGGGGTAATTGACAGGGGGGGGTAATTACTCTGGGGGGTAATGTCGGGGGGGAAATATCCGGGGGGTAATTGACAGGGGGGAAATGTCCTGTTCCCATATAGATATATATATATATATATATATATATATATACATATCTGTGACGTAGCGAGGTCGGGTGTCACCCGGTGCGGCACTTAATGGTGTCACCCCCCAGAGGGGTAGCGACCCTTCCCGGGGACAAACTTCCAATTTTCGATTTGCACCTCTTAAAAGACTATTTAACACTCGAATTAATCACTTAATTAAGTGGAATTATCATTTTTCTCTAAATATTTTGCTATTTTTTGCCTTGGTGCCCCCCCGCCCCCCCCCCCCCCCGCTACGCCACTGACATATATATATATATATATATATATATATATATATATATATATATATATATATATTTTTTTTTTTTTTAATTTATTTATTTATATGTGTGTGTGTGTGTATGTATGTATGTATGTATGTATGTATGTGTGTCTCTGTGTGTGTCTCTGTGTGTTAAAAATTGGTGTAAAACTCCCCAAATCTGTTCAGGCTATAGCAGTAGGTGCCCGACTAAGAGAAAACAAACATCTTCGAACATTTCCAATACCTGTAAGCCAGTGTAGTGGAGAGGCGTGTTCAAATCAATCGGATCAATCAGTCAGTGCAAGCTCAATCGGCGAAACATGAGATATGAATTAGACCCAAGAAAGAGAAAAGGGTAAAAACAGCCAAATAAATCCATTGAGCTGCATAATTTTCGTGTTGACAATAACATTTGGGCCCACTGTGTTGCAGGTTGATCGGTTTTAGCAGAAACGAGTTTTGCGGGAAAGGTCCACGATTTTTTTTCGTATTGAAAGTCTGTAGGTAACAAATCGTTAAAACATATCAGGCTGGAATCACGATTTTAAAATCCGGAACGAAATTCATATGAAGGTGGTTATCGTTTAAAAGTGATGATGAAGATGAAGTAGAGTGCATCTAGTGTTGCTACTTTAGCTCCGTGTATTTGGTGATTAGGTGTTCAAGACTTTTTGCAACAGCTTACGTTTTTCTTGTTTAGAGACAGGTACCTATCAGAGCTGAGTTGACTCAATTATAATCCTACGGCCAGGTTATCATCAGAGCTGAGTTGACTCAAGGTCGTCATGGAGATATGTCAGGTACCCATCAAGGCTGAGTTGGCTCGATGACATACTACGATGAGTGACCCATCAGAGTTGGGTGGGCTCAATGACATCCTACGGTCAGGTACCCATCAGAGCTGGGTGAACTCAACGATACTATTTTGTGTTATAAAATTTAGGAATCACACTATTTTTAGAGATCGATCGGTTAATAGATCTACATTTAAATTGCTTTAATGCCATAGTCAATGAGTAATTCCGTTTTGTCAACATATTTATCAAGCTAATATAGGCTTGAATAAAATAAGACAAAAAAATATAAAAGTAAATAAAAGTTTTTAACAAAGACAGTGTTAAATAGGCCAACAGCTTTTTACTACCTTGTTATATTATGTAATGATTTTTTTTTAATTACCATCTTTACTATCCGGCACTATAACTGAATAACCCATCTCTATTCTCAGAACTCTCAGAAATATATTATCTATTCTAAAGTGTGTACAAGTTGACTTCATACAATATCGTAGAAAAAACTAGCCAACAGTAATGGAAATACCAAAAACTCTTACCTGATTTGAGTTTAAGACTGTGGCGAAATATGGTTCGATTAGTTTGTACTGCATGTTCCTGAACAGAAATAAAGTGTGTCTTCCGCTTTCGTTCTTTGACAGACCGACAACCGGAAATTGCATAGCGGGTTGTCGCCGCTGGAAGCTTTCCGATTGATTATAATGTATTCTTTGTTAAATGACCGTTTGTTTTTGGATTTTATTTGAGTTTTTTTTAAACCTGCTTTTCCATCTGCTTATTGTATGTTCGATATGTTTTTAAAAAAATACAATCAATATTACAATACAAACATAACACATAAAAAGCATAACAGCTGAAAGACTAGAGCAAAAATACAACTCAGAAAAACAAGATCATAAACACAAGACGACAAATATGCCACACAACACTAGAAAAACATAATACAAAAACACATCATAATATATAGCACAAGAAAAATGTAGCACAGCATTGGACAAACATAACAAAATACACATCACAACAAAAACATAACGCAACTCTAGACAAACAACAAAATACACATCACAACAAAAACATAACAAAACACTAGACAAACGCACCAAAAATACAAATGACAACAAAAATATAACGCAACACTAGATAAACACACAGTCCCCTCTCTTCTTCTCTAGGAAGTCTGGTGAGCTGTGGTTCACGCTAAATGTTTCCAATCGTAGAGCCGGGTTTGGTGACGGCTATTAGGGGCAGATAATTTAGTTGGAAACGATTTTAAACTTATGGGAGGTAGCTAAGAGGAGGCTGCTTTCACGGGGAGGGGGTGGTCGGGGTTGGGGAAGGAGGGGGGGGGGTATCGTCTTTAACGACTTACTGATAGTGTTTTAAAGCAAATATTTTCAGTGACAGCAGTGGTACTGTCGAATTCACAAATTATGAATTACTGAGAAGTAGAAAATAAAACGGCTCTTACTACATAAACATAACAAAATACACATCACAACAAAAACATAACGCAACATTAGACAAACACAACAAAAATACACATCACAACAAAAACATAACACAACATTAGACAAACACAACAAAATACACATCACAACAAAAACGCAACTCAACAGATGAAAAACACAAGAAATAAAGCGGGAGTGTTCCTTGCTAAACTTCCTTGTATATACTAGTGCCGGAGGACTAAGCAGTATAGAAGTTTGTGACAAAACGTTTTTTTTTCTTTCTGGAAATACATAAAGGCGAAAGTACATAAAATACGCTGCTGAATATAATAATATAATATCAATTTATCAGATTGGGCCTTCTCATGATGTTATGAGATATCGGAAACAGCGTGAAGTATACGTTTAATTACCGGAAATTACTCAAAATTTGACAGAATCCAGTACATAGATCTTACAGCAAAATGTGAAATTTCGTTCACGTAACTGAAGCGGTACTCAAGTTATCGGTATTTTAGAAACGAGAAATAGAATAATGTACCACTTAATGATATTGGAGATCACTCAAAAATTAAATATAATCTATGGATAAGAATTTATATTTATACATGAAATTTCGTCAACTGAACAGAAACGGAACTCAACGTATAGTATTCACTAGAACATAAAGAACAATTTCCGGTAAGCGAAAACCATTCAAACGTTTACAAAAACCTGCGCTTGCAACGCAATACAAATATTTTAAAATGCGTCCACCTAGCAAAGAAGGCACTCAAGTAACCGATAATAAAGTAAGTACCACTTCCGATTTATTATAGACTGATCTAGTGCTGACAGAGCGTATCATATATATTCAACACAATACCTGTATAGCACCGATAATAAATCAATTGTATTGCGTACTTTGCCTAGGGATTCTATAGAGAATGCGATGAATTAGATTCAATGGAAAAAAAGAATAAGCTTATTTCACTAAAAAAGTTTCCTCACTCAATCCGTAGCCGTACCCCTAAACCTAACATTGCCTACGGTTATGGTTAGTAGGTTTAGTATTTGGGTAGATTTTATAGTCATTTGAAAGGTAATGAATTGATTTCAGGTATCTTTTTGGGGTGAAACACCCCCTTCCCCTCCCCTGCCTGCTCCCATTATAGAATCATATATAGGCCTACATAGAAAAAATAACAATCCTAATATATAAATTAATATAAAAGCCCCTGTGCGCACTTCTCTCTCTCTCTCTCTCTCTCTCTCTCTCTCTCTCTCTCTCTCTCTTTCTCTCTGGCCGCAAAATATTTTCGCAGGATATCATATCAAAACCTTCAGCGATATATGGAGAACTTGATACGGACTTTTTTTGAAAATAATATTTTAGATGTTTTAAATGTATAAACAAAATTTTATTAAAAGAAGTAAAATAAAAAATAAAGGTATATTCGAATGTAGAAAAACAGTTTTAATTATGCAACCGGAAAAGTGTTTATAGTTGGGACAAGAACGCCGAAATCGATGACGTCACATGTCATATGTTTGAAGTAAGGAAAGTACAAAAAATCAATGGCGTCATCTTCCAATTTTAGAATACGAAGAAATGAACTATTTCATTAAAATTTTATTTAGATCTATAGATTTACTAATTGAGACGTAATTTATGAAATTTATGCAATTTCCCCGGCCAAAACTAATACAAATTACTTTAAAAACAGATACCACTGAAAAGCCGGGTTTTTAACGGAGTCATTTAAGTCTTTTAATCAATGTGTGCATTTAATATGGAGTTGTGTTGACTTATTATGTATATAATTTGGTTTTATTTTTTCTAATAGGTTTTACTAGCCTATGTTATTTTAAATGTGTCGGACCTTTAGCTATTTAGTTATCTCTTTGCTTTGTCACTAATATCGTTAAACCTGTTTTGACCAATAACAATTTTATAAAATATTCTTTTAAAAATGTATACCATTAAAAATATGTACACCGATAATTCACATGTAACGGGTACCAACGGCTAGTTATAATTATAAAGTGAAAATAAAAATTCGTTTCAAAGAGAGACAAACAAGTATGAATTTTGTTTTGTTATATTTGCATTATTGTTTCCCTTTGTTCAGTAAAAGTGTTAAATTTTAGTTTAACTACTCCTCATTAAGGACTAAACGATTAAAAGGCTGTTAACTACTTTTTTTTAAATATTAAGTAACTATATTAAAAAAAAACTAAAAATCATCTAGATCTAGGTTTTAATTTTTTTTAAACTTTCTATAGTTTTAATTCTAGTGTCTTCGTGTTTCATAAAGTATTAAAATACGTCGAAACTAATCTAGTCCGTTGTAACTAGGCAGCCAGTGACGTAAAACGTTAAACAACATGGCGGTTATCTACAACCAATTAAAGGGCTCGGTCAGGGTGCATGCAAACTTTATAAAATTTTGATAACGTAAACTTTGAGAACTTTTAACATACTTTATTTTTAACTTTTAAAACATATACAGGTTACTTTAAATTCAAGAAAAAAATGTCTAGTTTAGTTGCCTGCTTCACAATCTAACTTTAAAAAATTGATACGTCCAGTTCCAGTTTATAAAGAAAAAAAGTGTCGACTGGATTCAGTACGATACACGCATTAAAAAACGGAAAGGGGGTTAACTGTGCTAGTCTAGATAGATCTAGATCTACTGTGTTAGGTAAAACGTCGTAGTCAGATGTGTCGTACGTTTTTTTTTATGTCCTTGTATTTTACTTCCAATTCCTTTACTTATTCACATTTTAACTATATTTTCTTAAGTAGGCTACCTATTAAATGAGCAGTGAATTTTTATTTTATACATTTCTTTGGATAAGTTTAAATACAAATGTGAGGAATTATTTTAATTTTAAATACTATAGTGAATCTTTATGAAGATGCATGTAGAATGTAGACAATGTAGTGTAGGTCTAGAAAGCCTAGATTCTAGATAGTATTAGTTTTAAGTTTTAAGAGAGAGTGTCTGTGGATTATCTAAACACTCAATTTGAATTAGGTCTACAAAAATGGTACCATAAAGCTCAGAAATCGCCAGTGAAAATGACAGGAGGAGCTCTTAATTTGTCCCTCCTAAGCAGAGGTGTAGGTGAAGTTCATACAAATGGACATGAGAAAGTGGATGTTTATCTTGAGCCAGAAGTAAGTAATTTTGTGTATCGGTACTTGAAATGTATAGGCATATTCAAATAAAATCCATTACTAAATAAGTAGACAACAAGGTACTAATATGAAAATTGTAAATGTTTTTCATCCTCTTCTTAAATTCAAGGATTACTACAATTTCACCAATCACCCTGACAGAGTTTATTTACCCCCTATACAAACAAATTACAACGACTATTTTGATGGAAGCCCAAGTCTCTCCAGCCGCACCCCAAAAGAGGTGCAGCAGTTCCGTGTGCCAAAAACATTCACAACCCGGAAAGGAGCCTTGCTGCTGTTTTCTGAAGACATGGCCCAAAGAAACTCAGATGGTCAAAATAGACGTAGAACATTTGCATCATCACATGACCAAGTATCTGGTAGTCTAGATACACAGGTAGATTAATTTTATCATGTCCGAAAGCTTTCATTTTGCTCTTTTAGCATAACATTTCAAAATACAATTGTTATGTTTTTTCAGCTAGTTTTTTTCCTTTATTGTTCTAGTTTTTTATCGCCTGAAATTGAACAAACAGTTTTTTTAAATTCATATACAAATTTACTTCATGTTCACTTTTGAATTGATACAAATTAATTTCAGTTTTAAAACTGGCTATATTTTTAAGTCTGCTGATATATATTTCTTTGAACAATAATTTTAAATAATTAAAAGATAGGTTTAAATTATAGATCTAACACTTTATAACATATTTCTCAAATGTAGAGATCATCAAAAACGTGAACTTAACATTAATATCATCGTAGTGAACAAACCAGCCTAACTAACATTAAACAACAAACCTTAGAAATATTTTTAATTCTGATTTATTATTTTAAAATTAAATTAGAACATTTAAAAACTAGAAGCTGTGTTTTGTCATATTTCTTATATTTTTTAATGCCACAATATCAGTGGAAATCAGATTATACGTATAGCTGTTCCCTTATTATTTTAGATGACTATAAGAACAGTTGATGATTTAGCAAAGTCCATTTTAAAGTATGGTGCACAGGTTGGTAGCTAACATCATTTTATTTTTTAAATTTGTACAAAAAAAAATTAGAAAACAATGGGTTTTAATGTAACTTCTAAAGTTGACTTATTTCATTAGTAAAATGAGACCTGTTATCTCTATATCTTTAAATAAGGTCTTAATATTGTCAAAGTAAAGAGTTCATCAAGCCTCTATCTACAAAATATAAACATGATATTTTAGCAATTTGCTATTCATCAAAGTTATTTTAAAAATGTAAATATATAATGTATCATTCTTGATTAAAACATCAATGAGACATATTTACTATTTCTATTTTAGTGGTATCCATTTCATATAATTTAACTTAAATATTTTTGCAACTACCCTTAAGACTTTTCTAGCTTTATCCCTTAATCTAACCTAAGATCTAACTGACATTCCAATCTAACCATTAGATAGTTTAGTTTAACCTAAAGTTGTTTATCCTCATACTCTATTTACTTTATTTAGGATAACGTAAATGGAAAAGTCTATCTTAAATTTGTTCGCAACCGTGGGGATATGTATGATAGACAAATCCGACCTGGATTTTCAGCTAAGCGCTACCTGTCCACATGGACTCGTACCTGGGATGACACTGTCTTTGATAACATTGTCAAGCAAGGTGAGTCCAAATTAGGAGTTTTTTTTTATTTTGTGAGATGGAAATAAATCTTTTCTGCCAGTTCCACTTAGTATAAAAACAAAAGAGTTTTAAAATAAACCCACAAAACACCAAGACTTTTGTAACTTTAGTAGCCGGTACTTTTGTCTACATATGGCGTTGAAATCACACTAAATATCTAATATTGCTAATTGAGGACTAATATTCATTGTAAAGAGAAAAAACAATTCTACAGGAGTTTAGTTGTTTAAAATTAATTTTTCAAACTAATTAAAAAGAAATTAAAATTGATATTAGTGATAAATAATTATACACATAAATAGCTTCAATTGAATAAAAAATGTTTTGAATCATTAATTTTTATAGTGTATAATACTTTTAAAATATACTTTAAAAATAAAGAAAAACTTCTGAAAAAAATTTAATAGTTTAATTTTTCTAAATTGAAAAATATTTTTCTAGTTTTTATTTAGAATAGTAATTAATGGTTGTGTAAAATTGAATGAGAAGAATAATGTTTCAAATTTTTTTTTTGGAAAATGTTTAATTTTATTAAAAATTTTTCATAGGTTTCATCACAGGAAGATCACTACACACCAACAACTTAATGGCGCCAAACCTCCGCAAGAGATTGTTCTACGAGGACTTGTCCCACATGCCTCAACCATACAGGCTGATGAAGACAATGCTCCTAACACCAGGGAGTCTGTCTGGTTATTCCTTCTACCGAGCCCCAGACTCTCATTTCAGTGAGTTAAAATTGTTTCTTTTTCATATAAGATGCTGATGTAAATATGTTCTTTTGTTTTTGTTTCATAATTTTAAAAATGACATTGTACATAAGCATTAAACAGTATTTTTAAAAAGTGATCCTTCTATATGTAGGATTTCAATAGTTTGTTTTCATTTATGTAATTAAAAATGTTTCCACTTCCACTCTGATTTTCTTCCCGCTTTTGATATTTTGTTTCTCTTGCTTACATTTTTTTGGTTTTCTTAAAAACTTGACAGTTATAATTATAATAAACATAATATTAACTGTCAAACATTATAATTTTTTTAAAAGCATATTGATTAGTACATTTTATTTGTTTTTTAAATAACAATTTTCCTATAATATATATATTCTGGTTTCCCTAAGTTAAACTAATAAAGCAAATGTATAATTTTAAACTTTTCTCTTGGTAGTTGAAGAGGAATACAACGAAGATGACATCATTTTCTTGCGAAAACGATCTGATACTCAAGACAGTATAAGAGTGGTAAAAACAAAAGAAGGCGTTCAAGAAGAGGTGGCTTACAGTAATTTGGACAGGGATTCTCAGAAAGATGTCATCACAGACCTACTGGTGAAGAGTGCTGTGCATTTTGCTCTAAAGAAACAAGAGGTAGGACACAAATGGTTTCTTCTGGTTTGTTGGGTTGTACTAGTGTTGATCAAAGAGATAGCTCAGAGAGATGAATGCTGATATATAAGGTGTAACAGGTTGTTGATTATGAAAATGTGGAAAGATATTAAAATGTTGAAAATTGGAATATTAGGATGTAGACCTCAAATATATATATATATATATATATATATATATGTATATATATATATATATATATATATATATATATATATATATATATATATATATATATATATATATATATATATATATATATATATATATATATATATATATATATATATATATGTGAATACAACTCTGTATATAAATATATATAGCGATGTGATAGCATGTAGTGCTACAGTCAAGAATATGGATTACAAAAAAGTGGATTGAAGGGTTAGGATTTAGAAATGTTATATTGGTATGCAGGTTATATAAATGAGGATAATGGTTATGATTTTTGGTATAATTGATTAACTGTGAACTATTTTGATTTTTTTTTTAAACAGGAAATTTTGCAGGATGCCATACTTAGAGCCTCAGGGAGTGATTTCTCTTCTAGCAGTAGTAAACTGACTTCATCTGTAACTTATGAGTTCAACATGAAGGATGCAGTAGAGGTAGGCTATTTTATTTTAAAATATTTTACTGCTATGTTCTTTAATTACCTTGAGTATGCTAGTGTAGACTGTTAACCTGAAAGTCTTGAGTTCAAATCTGGGTTCAAGTCAGTTGAATGTCCCTGAGTCCACCCAGCTCTGATGGGTACCTAACTCATGTTAGGGAGAGTAAAGGGGGCTATGCATAGTACTGACCACACCTTCCCTTCATATGCCGAGGTCAAGAAACATGTGAGCTCTACTTCATCTGTCCAGTGGATTGCTAGGTCTAAAGAGTAATCTTTACTTTACTGGCCCTACGTGTCTTGGACACAAATGGAAAAGATGAATAATGTTCTTTACTAAACAGGTTAATTTATTTTTATTTTTTTGCTTTATCTTTAAATACAACTTTTCTGAATTAAACTAAATAACAGACATTTGTTTTATTTATTGTGAAATTGTCATTTAATTTTGATGTAGTTTTAAGAACTGGTCTTATCAGAAACGTTTATTTATGTCATTTTTAAATAGAAAGTCTCCCATTGTGATCTATTGATGATATGGCCCTTTTTTTTCTTTTCACTTTTTATTATCCTCCTCGTTAAATCATGCAATTCCCCCCCCCCCCCCAAAAAAAAAAACTCCCTTCCCCCCTTCTCCCTCCAAGTGAACGTCATATCCAATTTCCACAATATACTCTTTTAATTTAAAAAAAAAACCCATACAACATAATTATCGGAATTTTCATCAATACAGATTTTTTAAAAATCAATGCTACATTACATTTTATGCACGCTCACCCCCCCCCCTACCCACGCTACACGCACACCTTATAAAACATCACCACTAAAGTCAGATCACCCCCCCTCCCCTCTTTCTATGTACACTAACATCATGTCTAGATGATCAATAGGTAGAACTACTTGCATTGAAAAACTTGGAAGCACTGAAATTGTGTCTGGTAGTCTCTGTATTCCTGAAATGTAAAGTAGCAGTCAGACTCTCTAGAAGTTTTGGTAAAGGCCTTCTAAACAAAGCTTTGGTAAAGGCCTTCTAAACAAAGCTTTGGTAAAGGCCTTCTAAACAAAGCTTTGGTAAAGGCCTTCTAAACAAAGCTTTGGTAAAGGCCTTCTAAACAAAGCTTTGGTAAAGGCCTTCTAAACAAAGCTTTGGTAAAGGCCTTCTAAACAAAGCTTTGGTAAAGGCCTTCTAAACAAAGCTTTGGAAAAGGCCTTCTAAACAAAGCTTTGGTAAAGGCCTTCTAAACAAAGCTTTGGTAAAGGCCTTCTAAACAAAGCTTTGGTAAAGGCCTTCTAAACAAAGCTTTGGTAAAGGCCTTCTAAACAAAGCTTTGGTAAAGGCCTTCTAAACAAAGCTTTGGTAAAGGCCTTCTAAACAAAGCTTTGGAAAAGGCCTTCTAAACAAAGCTTTGGTAAAGGCCTTCTAAACAAAGCTTTGGTAAAGGCCTTCTAAACAAAGCTTTGGTAAAGGCCTTCTAAACAAAGCTTTGGTAAAGGCCTTCTAAACAAAGCTTTGGTAAAGGCCTTCTAAACAAAGCTTTGGTAAAGGCCTTCTAAACAAAGCTTTGGTAAAGGCCTTCTAAACAAAGCTTTGGTAAAGGCCTTCTAAACAAAGCTTTGGTAAAGGCCGTCTAAACAAAGCTTTGGTAATCAGCAAAGTGTTACGTACGTTCATACGTGAAACATTGGACCTTAAAATGTCAAATTTATTTCATGAAACAATCGAACCCAAAATGTCAACAATCGAACCCAAAATGTCAACAATCGAACCCAAAATGTCAACAATCGAACCCAAAATGTCAACAATCGAACCCAAAATGTCAACAATCGAACCCAACATGTCAAATCAATATGTAAAAACGATAGACCCCCCCCACCCCCAAATACAAGTATATGGTCTATGTAAAGTAATAGACCCCAAAGTGTCATGTCATGTTGATGTCATGAAACAACCGACCCCAAGATGTGATAATGTTATGAAAAACAGTAGAATACCAAAATACCAAGTAGAAACGTAACACAGTCGACCACCAAAATGATATGTCAAAACAATAGTGTCAAGTTGATTTCATGAAACAGTCGGCCCTTCAAAATGTCAAGTAGGCCTATAGATCTACATGTGAAACAAATAATGTGAAGTTAATTCGATAAACAATCGACCCAAAAGTATAATATTTTAATGTAAAACCAATCGATCCCAAAATACCTAATAGATACATGAAACAGTTCACCCCTCAAAATGTCAAATTTAATATTTGAAACAACCCCAAAATGTCAAGTAGGTGCGTGAAACAGCCGACCCCAAAATATCAAGTTGATATGTGAAACAATCGGTGTATGACGTATGACCAGTTGAGGCTAGCTAATCGATACTAAATAAGCAGCTTACTAAATACCTGGGGAAAGAAAAAAATGCTCCCAAAAATCGTTTGACCTTTTTGAGTAAGGTGTTCTCAAACTGCCGGCATAACTTTAAACTCTATAAAATGTGTTATTATCATTTACTTTTTAAATTTACTAATTTGCTTTATATATTTAGGGTGTGGGTACCCATTTGTGTGAGTTGTTTTTTAAAAAGCGTTATGTTGTTTTTCCTCATTATGGAGAATCTCTTCGACTATGCAGTGCATTTGTATGTTATCAGTATGTGTTTATGAAATTCTTGTTCAAATTGGTGCCTAAGTTATAAGTTCGTCAATGCATGAATTATTGTCATTATTTTCTAACTATAGAACTGCGCTATTATTGTACTGAGTGTTTTTTAGTATCTAAATAGCAATGTAAGTTATCCTTTTGAACATGGCTGTTCATAGTGCAGATGAGGTAGAGTTCACCTGTTTCCGTTACCTCGGCATATGAAGGGATCGTATGGCCAGCTGGTCAGCACTATGCCCAGCCGCCTTTACTTTCCCCAACGTAAGTTACCCATCAGAATTACCCTACCGACTCGAACCCAGGCTTTGAATTCGTGTGCTCTACCATCCGACCACGCCATCCAGTAAATAGTAATGTTGGGGGACAAGTTTTTTTTTCGTCCTTTTAGAATCCATGTAGACTTCGTGCTAACGCCTTCAGTTAATAAGTAGGTAGATGTACCCCTTCAGTCTATAAGTAGGTAGATGTACCCTTTCAGTCTATAAGTAGGTAGATGAACCCCTTCAGTCTATAAGTAGGTAGATGTACCCCTTCAGTCTATAAGTAAGTAGATGTACCCCTTCAGTCTATAAGTAAGTAGATGTACTCCTTCAGTCTATAAGTAGGTAGATGTACCCCTTCAGTCTATAAGTAGGTAGATGTACCCCTTCAGTCTATAAGTAGGTAGTTGTTTTACAACACTCTGTTCCCTTGTACGACAACACTTTGTAAAACTTTGTTTCAAATCTCATGTGGAAGACAATTTTTTTTAAAAACAATTCAAAGTCTAGTTAACAAATTAACTGGCATGACATTCATGCATCAAAACATTGCCCGGCCCCACCCCTCCCCCATAAAATGTCATAGAAACTGACATTATTCTACGAAAATACATTATGATCTGGTGTGCCATTGATTTTGTTTTTAGTACAGCTGTCTCTGAAGATCTGAAGAACAGTGGATCTTAACATTTTTTGGAGGTACTGAAACCTCGCCAGTTTCATATGCGCCTTTGCCGAACCTTTCTTAATAGTTTTATCGTCCGCACTGACAAAATACGTGAATCGCATGAGTCGGGTGTGTGTCTTGACCTCCGCCGAACCCCTGAGACTGACTCACAGAGCCCCCCAGGGTTCGATCGAACCCAGGTTAAGAACCACTGATGGAGGCATGCAAGTCTATGGTCACCTGGTAAGAAAAATGTGAAAGCAGGACCGACTACCGGCGCCGTTCATCTTCGCACTCTGTGTAGTAACTTTTGAAAAAATTGAAACAATCCGATTATTAATTTAACGTGTGTTCAAATACTGGGAAAGAATAATGTGTGTAGAATATTGTATATTCATTTGTTTAGTGATAATTAGAGTTTTGGTATACTGTTGGTGATTTCATTCTCAACTTGAATTAGATGATTTCATTCTCATGTAGAATTAGGTAATTTCATTCTCAACTTGAATTAGATGATTTCATTCTCATGTAGAATTAGGGAATTTCATTCTCAACTAGAATTAGATGATTTCATTCTTATGTAGAATAGGGTGATTTCATTCTCAACTAGAATTACTAGAATTGTGTGATTTCATTCTCAACTAGAATTACTAGAATTTTGTGATTTCATTCTCAACTAGCATTTTGTGATTTCATTCTCACCTAGAATTTGGTGATTTCATTCTCATGTAGAATTTCGTGATTTCATTCTCAACTAGAATTTGGTGATTTCTTTCTCACCTAAAATTTGGTGATTTCATTCTCAACTAGAATTTGATGATTTCATTCTCAACTAGAATTGGATTACTTTATGTTTATTGTGTGTAGACCTCCTGAACGAAAACTCTATGTAAACATTACATAAACTTTCTTAAGATTTATTTCTTCAGGTTTACATCTCACGGTGTGTTTGTTACTGTAGTTTCGTGAATCAAATCAGCTGGCTGATGGTGTTCTTGTACATGTTGGTTGGTCTAGGATGATAGCAGATTATACTCATACCTATTAATCTGCATAACCAGTTTCCTATACCCAACCATAACCGTAACCTTACCCGTATAGGGCTATCCCTAGTAAAAACTAACTATTGTAAGAGTGGTGGGCAGTGCCAGCGCCAGGTTATTTAGCGTCCTAGGCAAAACTTATTAAAACGCCCCCTTTCACACAAATTAATGACTAAAACATATGCATAAGAAAACAATTAATTAAAAGTGACGTATTAATTTTTTATCAATTGCATACACGTTATAAGTAGACATCGAAATCAAATGTTACTTGCCTCCTTCGTCTCAAAAGTTTGTACTAATTCCTTCAATTCCAGTTTGCAAGCGTAATCACATTTTATTGAAATTGTTGCTAAGTCCGCGAATCTACTTT